GTTCATGGACAATGTGAAGCCTTAAACCGTGGCTTGCATATAACTCTGTGGAGCCAAATCCCAACAACTTGCAAGGGTTTTTCAGGCATGGGCTCACAAGTGTGCGGAAAGGTGATATGGCTCACCTCTTGCAAGGTGGCGAGCATTCTTCAACCTCCCTCGAGAGACGCTGCCTTGCCGGTGGGGACCCTGCTGAAGGAAGAAGCTTCACGCCTCGGTTCCTCTCCGGTGCTGTCTGTCAACTATCCCTCCTTCTGAATTGCTCCCCTCCCCAGGCTGTTCATGGAGATCCTCAACTCTGTTACGGACTGCGATGAGATCCAGTTCATGGAAGACGGTTCCTGGTGCCCCATGAAGCCCAAGAAGGAGAACCAGGAAGTTTGCCAGCCATCCGCTTACAATGGACTGGAAGGTAGGTGGAGGCTCGGCTTTGACGCGCTGGCCATGGCTCTTGGGCGCGAAAGGAGGGCCCTGGCTGGTGTGTGTGTGTGTGTGTGTGTGTGTGTGTGTGTGTGTGTGTGTGTGCGTGCGTGCGTGCTGTGGTGCCAGGAGCAGATGATGATGATGATGATGATGATGATGATGATGATGATGATGATAATAATAATAATATAAAAAAAAGTTGAAAGGGACCTTGGAGGTCATCGAGTCCAACCCCCTGCTCAGACAGGAAACCCTATACCATTTCAGACAAATTGGCTGTCCAGTCTCTTCTTAAAAACCTCCAGTGTTGGAGCATTCACAGCTTCTGGAGGCAGGTTGTTCCACTGGTTAATTGTTCTGTCAGGAAGTTTCTCCTTAGTTCTAGGTTGCTACTCTGCTTGATTAGTTTCCATCCGTTGCTTCTTGTCCTGCCTTCAGGCGCCTTGGAGAATAGCTTGACTCCCTCTTCTTTGTGGCAGCCCCTGAGATACTGGAAGACTGCTATCATGTCCCCCCTCGTCCTTCTCTTTGTTAAACTAGACATACCCAATTCCAGCAACCGTTCCTGATATGTTTTAGCCTCCAGTCCTCTAATCATCTTTGTTGCTCTTCTCTGTACTCTTTCTAGAGTCTCAACATCTTTTTTACATCGTGGTGACCAAAACTGGATGCCGTATTCCAAGTGTGGCCTCACCAAGGCCTTGTAAAGTGGTATTAATACTTCACGTGATCTTGATTCTCTCCCTCTGTTAATGCAGCCCAGCACTGAGTTGGCTTTTTTGGCAGCTGGCTCATACTCAGTTTGCCCCCCTTCTGCACACGGAGGCTCCCCTGTGGTGTCTCAGTGGCTGACGACTGAGCATCGTGGCGTCCCAGGGATTGTGCCATGCGCAAGGCTGTCTGTCTGAAGCCAGTTTCCGAGCCTTGCCATTGTTTTTGTTGCAGCCTCCCTGTACACAGTAAGTTCAGAGGGAAAGCCACTGGCCGAAAACAAGAAGAAGGTGGAGGTGATTGACTTGACCCTGGACAGCTCTTCGGACGACGAGGAACTCCTGGCCAAGAAAGTGTGTTCTGTCGCCATTGCAGCCATCCCGCCAGCAGCCGGACCAAAATGGTAGGAAGGGCTGTTGGCTCTGAGGCCTTTCCTTCCTCTGGCTTGGCCCGATTTCTTTGAGCCAGACTTGGTGACGGGAAGGCTCTTGGGACGTAGAATCCTAGGCCCGCGAGGGATCTCGGAGGTCTTCTAGTCTGACCAGCTGCCTGAGGCAGGTCCTTCCTTCATCTGGGACAAAGGGCTGCGCAGTCTTTTCTGGGAAACCTCCAGTGACACAGCACCCACAACTTCTGGAGGCAAGCTGTTCCTTCGATTAATTGTTCTCATCAGCGGGAAATCGACAGGAGCTTTGTGCTAGAACAGGGGTAGGCATGCTGGCTCAGGAATTCTGGGAGTTGAAGTCCACGAGTCATAAAGAGCCAAGGTTGCCTATCCCTGTCCTAAGTCCTCCTATTCTAAGCGGTGAGCCTCCTAGACCAGGGGTAGGCAGCCTTGGCTCTTTTATGACTCGTGGACTTCAACTCCCAGAATTCCTGAGCCAGCATGGCTCAGCTTGGAAATTCCCTTTCCCCTCAGCATGGCTGGCTCAGGAATTCTGGGAGTTGAAGTCCACGAGTCACGAAGGGGCCATAGTTCCCCCAAGCTGGCTCAGGAATTCTGGGAGTTGAAGTCCACCAGTCATAAAAGAGCCAAGGTTGCCTACCCCTGTCCTAAGTCCTCCTGTTCTAAGCGGTGAGCCTCCTAGACCAGGGGTAGGCAGCCTTGGCCCCTTCATGACTCGTGGACTTCAACTCCCAGAATTCCTCAGCCAGCATGGAAACCTCTCCCTTTCCCCTCTGCATGGCTGGCTCAGGAATTCTGGGAGTTGAAGTCCACAAGTCATAAAAGAGCCAAGTTTGCCTACCTCTGTCCTAGAAAGACTTCCCTTTTTAGCTTCTCTTTCTTTCTGGCTCTTTTTCTGGGAGGTCCAGGAAGGTGAAACAGACTAGCTTGTGTTCATAATGGCTCAGGATTGTGTATTCGAGGTTTTTTATTTTTAAGAGTTAAATGAACTTTCTTTGGTTAATTCATCAGGTTAATGTATTTATCATGGGAGAGAGATAAATTGCCTCTCAGTCCTTCTGAACAGGGCCTGGGTCTTCTGCTTTCACTGGCCCCCTCTGTCTTTTCCCCCCTTTCCCCCATCATTACGTACGAAGTGGCCTTGATCCATCAAATCTTAATATAAAATGGATTAATGTTTAAAGCCTGGATGTGCAGCTGCATGGCCCAGTTGAGCCTTCTTGTTGGATAACATTCTGCGGAATTTAATCTTTGGAAGGTAATCTTCTTTGGAAGACCCAGGCCCTTTCTGTGGGGGGGGGGAGGGTTTGACTGGCAGTTTATCTTTCTCTCTGTAATTCTTCGGAATATTATCTGAGCACAGTTGCTGAAAACTGCCCAAATTCCAAAATTCAATAAAAAAAAACAAAGAAAAAAAGTGGAACTCCCCAGCTCCTCCTCTTCCCGCTGGCTTGTGACCCTCAGTCCCCCAGAAGAAGTAGAACTGGCCCCCAAAGGCTGCTGCAAATGTCCCTTGTCTCCCCAAGAACCGAAGGGCCTTCCAGCTCTGCTAAGCTTTCATTCCCTTTCAGGGTTTTGAACGCAGACCACCAGACCTCCTCGGTGCTGCGGAGCCCCTCAATGGCTGCGATGGGCAGTGAATTCCTCTCCAGCCTCCCCCTGTCAGAGTACCACCCTTCTTACCCGGTCCCTTCAGACATTCAAGGTAAGCAGGACCAGGTGGCCCCGAGCTCGGGCTCTCTTCCCTAAACTGGGGGGAACGGGAGAAGAAAAGGAATCTGCAAGGTCCTGCCCCAGCTACTCTTGAAGCAGGCCTTATTTCCAAAGGATCTTTTATTGAGAGAAAGTGGTTGCAGGGAAGACGAGCCGAATCTGAAATTCCTCCCCTCCCCAGTGTCCCAGTCCATCAGGAGCCAAGCTGATGATGGTGCAAAGTTGTTGTGAGAACTCCGAGGGGAAGAGAGGAGCCAAACCAGGGGGCCCTGAAGCCTTCTTCCCCCCCCTCCCCAATTCCCAGGCAGATACATCAGAGCAGAAGTAGAAACAATATAGAACCATCTTAGATTCCCCCAAAGCGCTCCCCTCCTCCCTTCAGGATGGCAGGGTTCTCCAACAGGGACCTGACAGAATCCGAGGTAAAGCTCACCTGTCTTAGTGGTATTGTGGCTTCTCGGTCTTGGACAGGTTTTAGCTTCTCGTGTGAACACAGCCCTCAGAGGGGCCAAGGCCCTTGTCTGGTTAGCAAGCCCAGATATTGCACCTCAGTCCTGTGGATGTTAGCCACCTCTGAAGACCCCCAGCGCCATCCATCTCGCTTAAGTTAGTTAGCAAAGAATGGCCCCGGGATCATTGTTTCTCCAAGAGTATACAGTCTAGTCTAGTCAAGTCTAGTCTAGTCTAGTCTAGTCTGGAATAGAAATAGAAATAGAAATAGAAATAGAAATAGAAATAGAAATAGAAATAGAAATAGAAATAGAAATAGGATTAGAATAGAAGAATAGAATAGAATAGAATAGAATAGAATAGAATAGAATAGAATAGAATAGAATAGAATAGAATAGAGCTAGAAGGGACCTTGGAGGTCTTCTAGTCCAGCCCCCTGCTCAAGCAGGAGAACCTATGCCATCTCAGACAAGAGACTGTCTAGCCCAAGGGTAGGTAACCTTGACTCTTTTCTGGCTCAGGAATTCTGGGAGTTGAAGTCCACGAGTCATAAAAGAGCCAAGGTTGCCTACCCCTGGGCTAGCCTCTTCTTAAAAGCCTCCAGTGACGGAGCACCCACAATCTCTGGTGGCAAGCTGTTCCACTGGTTAATTGTCCTCACTGCCAGGAAATGTCTCCTTAATTCCAGGTTGCTTCTGTCCTTGATCAGTTTCCAACCACTGTTTCTTGTCCTGCCCTCTGGTGCTTTGGAGAATGACCACAACTGAGCCCAGAATTTATGTTGCTAAGTGAGAAATTTGTTAAGCGGGTTTTGCTCCATTTTGCGACTGTCTTGCCACAGTTGGTAAGGGAATCACTGCAGCTGTTAAATTAGTAACCCAGTTCTTAGGTGAATCTGGCTTACTCCCATTGGCTTTGCTTGTCAGAAGGTTTCAAAAGCTGGTCATGTGACCGCAGGACCCTGCGACCGTCATAAATATGAGTCAGTTGCCAAACATCTCAGTTTTGATCACATGATCATGGGGATGCTGGAAAGGTCAGAACTGAAAAACACTCCTAAGTCACTTTTTTTGCTGCTATCGTAACTTTGAACGGTCACTAAACGAACTGTTGTAAGTCGAGGACTACCTGTCTTTTTATAAATCTTTTCCTTCCCTCCAGTACATTCATTTTTAGCATTAAGTTACTTTCCCCCCTTTCTGTTTCTCTAGGTCTGGATTTGTTTTCCTTTCTTCAAAGTGAAAATCAGGTATGTTTTCTCTCTTGCCTTCCGTCTCCCAACCAACCATTCACGAAATCCACAGCGTGGCCATTAAAATAGAGGGGGTTTTTTTCTCTGCGTTTAATTGCCTTGGTAACCCAGCAAGCTTGCTTTTACAGCTCTTCAAGCTTCTTCAGACTTACAAGACTCAGAGTCCAGAATAGCAGTTGCAAAGAATAGAATAGAATAGAAAATAGAATAGAAAATAGAATAGAAAATAGAATAGAAAATAGAATAGAATAGAACAGGGAATGGAATAGAACAGGGAATGGAAAGGAATAGAATAGAGAATGGGAGTAGAACAGAACATAGAATAGAATAGAATAGAATAGAATAGAATAGAATAGAATAGAATAGAATAGAATAATAGAAAATAGAATAGAAAATAGAATAGAAGAGGGAATGGAATAAAACAGGGAATGGAATGGAATGGAATGGAATGGAATAGAATAAAGAATGGGAATAGAATAGAACAGAATAGAACAAAGAATAGAATAGAATAGACTAGAACAGAATAGAATAGAACAGAAAATAGAATAGAACGGAATGGAATGGAATAGAATAGAATAGAGAATCGGAACAGAACAGAACAGAATAGAATAGAATATAGAATAGAATATAGAATAGAAAATAGAATAGAAATAGAATAGAAAATAGAATAGAATAGAACAGGGAATGGAATAGAACAGGGAATGGAATAGAATAGAGAATGGGAATAGAACAGAACATAGAATAGAATAGAATAGAGTAGAATTAGCACTTTGACTTATATACCGCTTCACGGTACTTTACAGCCCTCTCTAAGCAGTTTACAGGGTCAGCCTTTTGCCCCCAACAATCTGGGTCCTCATTTTACCGACCTTGGAAGGACGGAAGGCTGAGTCAACCTTGAGCTGGTCAGGATCGAACTGCCTTACTGCTGGCAGTGGGCAGTCAACAGAAGTAGCCTGCAGTGCTGCATTCTAACCACTGTGCCACCGCGGCTGTACACCAAAGTTGAAAAGCCAGGCAGCACCAGATTGGCCTGTGATTACAGGTAGTCCTCAACTTACGACCACAATTTGAGCCCCAGGTTTCTGTTGTTAAGTGAGACATTTGTTAAGTCAATTTTGCCCCATTTTACTACCTTTCTTGCCACAGTTGTTAAGTTAATCCCTGCACTTATTAAGTTAGTAACATGATCGTTAAGCGAATCACTGCAGTTGAGAAGTTAGTGACCCGGTTGTTAAGTGAACCTGGCTTCCCCCATTGACTTTGCTGGTCAGGAGGTCGCAAAAGGGGATCACCTGGCCCCGGGACACGGCAACCGTCATAAATATGAGTCCGCTGCCAGGCGTCTGAATTTTGATCACGCGACCAATGGGGATGCTGCAACGGTCGTAAGTTTGAAAAATGGTCCTAAGTCACTTTTTCCAGTAACGTTGAACGGTCACTAAGCAAACTGTGGTCAGTTGAGGACTACCTCTCCTTCAGCCCAAGTACTCAGGCATAGCAAGTGCGCTAAGGGCAGAAGACAAAAATTGTCTTTATTGTTAACAACGAGTCTTTCCCTCTCGCAGCACTACGGGCCCTCCGTGATCACCTCCTCGGACGAGCAGGAGTCCCTGAGCCATTTTTTCCAGTATCGGGGGCCCTCCCCGCATTTCATGAGCCCCCTGTCTCCGATTGTGGTGGGATCCCACAATGGGGTCGGCTCCCCCACCGGCAGCCGCATGAACAGCGTGGTCTCTTCGCCCACGGCCAGCTTGCGGGAGAGTCACGGGGCCATGGGGAGCAGCCCGGCTCTGCCAGGGTGTCGGCCGGACATCATCTCTCTGGACTAAAGGGGGGGGCACACCCTCTGGGACTCCCTTCCCCTCTGGAGGAAGGAAGAAGTTTTGGCGACTGAGGCAGCATGTCGGCAGCTGAGAAGAGGGGAAGAGGCATGGCGGAGGGTTTTTACTTGGTGACCGCTGTCGTCCTAGAGTGAGCCTGGAAAATCGGGGCAGTTTTAAAGCTGGAAACTCTCCCAGAAGCCAAGCTTTCGGTCCTTGTGGATTGCAGAGGGCTCCGTCTCTGAATCCGAAGAGTCACCGCTGAATTTGGGTCATGGGAGCAGGGGCTAAGCGGGAATTCAACCTTCTGTTATATGTCCCAAGTTACAGAACCCTGGACTTTTGCTTAGCTGTGGGAACCCATTTTCAGGTGGGCAGGATTGGATGACTGCAGCAGATGGGAGCCTCGGGGGGGGGGCATTTGAAATTCTGCACGGCTTGAACTCGGAACAAGCAGTCAGGACCACCCTGGGTCAAGCCTGGCACACGTTCATTGGATCGGGAGCCTGCTGACCGAATCTGAAGGCCGCGTTAAGCTCCACGTTGGAGGATTCGAAGGCTAACGTGTTTTGAATCGGGAACATTTGGCGGGACCCTGGAAATTGGCTCCTCCTTGCATTAAAACAAACATTTTTTTTTTAAAAAGGATGCTGGCTAGACCAATTGAGGCCAATGTGAATGTTTTGCAGGTTCTTGTATTTTCAGAGCTCTGTTGTGGGGAAGGAGCAGGGTTTTTTTTTCCCTAACCAGTTTTTTTCACTAACTCCCAAAGTGTATTTTCTGTACTTATAAAAGGCCAGCGGCCTCTTTAGAGGTTTGAAGGTGTAACAAGGGAATTCTGAGTTTTACGCAGAAAATTCCACTGCTTTCTGTTCCTCCTCCTTGGGGGAAATTCCCATAGGCAGCCAGGAGAAGGCAGAAGTCCCGCGGGCAGGCCGGGAAGCGTCTGCCCTCTTTGCTCATCCGTGCCCCCTCCAGCTGAGCCTTCCCTTTTGGAAATCTCTACGCAGAGACGGGATGCTCGCCTTGTCCTGGGGCGAAAAAGTTGCCAAGGATATCTTGCCGGAGAGGTTTGAGCTGTGAGGTGCAACGTTTGAACCCCAACTTCGGTGAAGCACGACTGCCACCCCCAGAACAGAAAACAATTCTCGGACACTCCTAGCTTCAGATTTTCTAGAATCCAACCAGAACTGCCATCGGGCCACCGAAGGGAGCCCTGGGAACGTGCCGGGTGGACTTTTTAGGATTTCGGATGGGGCACCTGGCAAGGCCTACCTGGAGTGGACTTGCAGGGGGGGTGTCCCCCTTTGAAGCTGGCTTTCCATACCCCTGGGGTGGGCTCAGGTGCCAAGGGACCGTCTGCCAGGCTGCCTTCCAAAATCCCACCATCCGGTTGCCGTTACTGGTGGTTTCCGGGGATTGCCCGGTCTGTAGGCTCTTGCTGTTACCATGTATTTTTTTACACTTTAAATCTTGTATTTCCACCCCCCTTAAAAAGTATTTCCAGCCAATCCTGTACAGAGAACAAAAGATCTATCAATCAATCATATATATACATATATATCTATATTATGATAATCTATATTTTCAGTTTTTGTACATAATGCAACTCCAAAGATCTTTTTCTCTGCATTTTTTTCCCCTTCCTTTTCTGAGGACTAAATGAAGGTGGCGTCATACTTTGCACACGTGTAAGCGAGCGTGAGGGGCAGTGCATTGTCCGTTGCACGGCTAATTTATATATTTATGTATGTGTTCTGAGTTGTGCGTTTGTGTGTGTGTGTGTTTCAGTTGGAAGCTTTCTGAGTCCAGCTACTCAGCCTCCTCTTCCCACCTCTTCAGCCAGTCGGGTGTTTGAGCCTCCAACGTGGAAGTCCTGGAAAACCTCCGCGCAGCCAGAACTGTCCCGATGGGAGTCTGGTCCGAGACAGAATGAAGGAAACTCTAATTTTGCAGAGCTTCCCCCTTCAAGGCCTTGGCTTCCTGCATGATTTCCCAAAGCCTCAGCGGAGAAGGCCGGATTCCTATTTTAAGTGGGCTGCAGGTTAATTTTAATGCTGTTTGTTACCCACACCTCATCGTTGTGTGGTTTTCTTTCAAGCATTTCCGTTTCAGTCAAAGGGAATATTTTTCCAGGACAGCTGAAGTTTTCCTAGATGTTCCCGGGAGGGGTCTGTGACAACTTGCTGTGGACAACTCACCACGGGACAAGATTTAATTAATGTAGAAGAAATGGTGGCATAGAATCATGAAAGGAAAGATGCCAAAGGAGGAGGGACAGAATGAAATTTATTTAAAACAAATTTTAAAAAAACCTTTTAATTTTTGACATTCACAGAGTGACAAAAATTAAAATATTTTTTTAATTTATTTTAAATAAATAGGATTGTTAAATTCTCCTGCAGTGAGGGGTCCCGTGGCGGGTGGTCTCCCGGGAGGAGCCAGGGCAAAGGGCAGGGGGAGCGGAGGCCGAGACCCCGTTTGTAGCCAGTGGCTGGCTGGGCAGGTGGAGGAGAGGCTGACCTGGCATCCCTTTAGTGGACCCTTTTTTCTGTCTTTTGGAAGAGACAAACCTCCCCTCCTGGGCTTATTTATTCTGTCATACCCTTGTTTTTATCAACTCAGAGCCATGGTGTATATGCCGTTGTAGAGAAAAATATAATAAAAAAAAAAAGTTGCAAAGAGCTGTGGTCCCACATCATGAAGGGTCTCCATCTTGGCTGCGTCGCTGGCTTTTTTTTTTTTCAGCCTTGTAAATATATTATAAGTTGGGGAAGGGGGGGGTGAAGTGTTGGCACAGTCCCAGTTCATAATGAAGGTAATTTTCTTTCCACTTATGTTGATTTCCATTTAGGGCATCCAAATTATTTTAGTGGGACTGAGTGGATTTTCCATCTTCGTTTTTTTCCCCCACATCATAATCTGTTTACTACCACCGCTTTTTTTCGTTATGTATTATTTTTTTACGGTTTGTAACATTTTATTGGATTATGGAATAAAATGCAAAAGTACAAAAGCAAATAGGACACTGGGGAAGGGGAAAAAGTGTTGCAGGAGAATAAAGCATTAACACCAAACCTCGACTTTTTTACTTTTCCATAATAGCATAAACTAGCCTGCTTACTACCGCCGCTTTATGGCTTATTCTGTAAACATCTTTATTCACCTGAAGGCACGCTGGCCACATGAAACTTCCAAATGCAGAGATAATAGTATAAGGGGACAAGTGACAGGCTGGCGATGGTACATAAAATATTTGCTTGCAAACAATCTCGGGCAGAGGGTATCAGATCTAACATTCCCCCCCCCCAAAAAACCCCATTTAATTTCTAAGATAAGGGAGGCATGGCGGATAAAAAGAAGTTTGCCTTCCACATATGATTATTAGTAGACGGCCCATGAGCATTACTCATGAAAAACATGCCTGCTCTAGCTTTCAGCACTAAACCGCTTTAATTTCTGACTTTTCGAGTGAACAAACTGACGTTTCTTCTCTTGGTGACTTTGGTTCCCTTGATCCTCTTTTTTTTTAAAAAAAAGTTTTTTATTTATAATACAGTTAAAACAAAAATGGACATAACGTGACATTCCAGAATAAATATTCCTAACAATTTGTTCCTCTTAATACATATAATTAATACATCATTCTTAATCTCTAAATAAATTTATTCTTCTATACAATACAATTATATATACAGTTATAAGTATTTCTGTCTTAACAGTAGCTTGAAGCCCGAGCAGTTCTCCTTAATTCATACCAGTAATAAAATTTGTCCCAGATTTCAAAGTAGTCTGATTCTGTCTTATCCTTCATTTCCATTGTGAGCCTATCCATTTCAGCACACGATAAAATTTTATATAAAATCTCTTCTTCTGTTGGAATTCCTTTATTCCTCCAGTTTTGAGCGTATACCAATCTAG